GTATTACATAATTATAAAGAGAACGATATAATAAATCTTTAATTTTTAGCCTGAAAGTAAAATTTGAGATAGATATTAATGAAAATCATCAGACAATTAATCATTTAGCAATATTAATTATTTTGTTAAACTAGACGTAACACTTACTGAACGGGTCATTGCACAATCTTTCTGTAGTGGAGCGACTATTAGTAATTATGTAACAAGTTCACCTATTGGAATGCGACATAGTACGGTTGTCAGTCAAGGAGGTGGTACGTTCTGCAGTCTTTCATATTGCTAAACAATTAGTAACAAATTTTTCTTTTTAGGACTTTATGTTATGACACTTACTTGGACTCCAACAGATAACCAATATGGTCCACAAGGTTTTTGTGCTGGTGCTGTTGATAGCAGTAATTTACAATCAGATGCTTGGTGTATCACCTATTTAGTAGGATTTGACTCACCGAATCTCATCCGAGCAACAGTTGTTCAAGGCACTGCTTCACCAATTGGAACTATATTTTCAAATCACTCAATATTTTCTATACAAGGTAAATATAAAAAAAAAAAAATTTTTGTTTTCTTCAACAGATTCCTATTGCTTGTAATAAACAATTTGTCACTGGAAAAGAATAATAGTATTATTAGTCATAAACTATGTATAGAATGGAGGAAAAAAAGTCTTGTTTATCTATTTATAGCAACTCGTGATGTTCATCGTCCAACTCGAAATGGAACCTACATAAAGTTTATGGACGCTACAACTAACACATCAGTACAAACATTTGATGCTGGATGGCAATCAAATATATTGTATACTGGAAATACAATCATTATCATAACGAATTATACGTGGATTCCAGGACGTCGTTATTATGTTCTTTTTGATAGTGGTAAATATACAAATATATATAGCTGAAAACTTTTTTTCATACGGTAATTTTATCTTTTTCCAGGAGTAGCGAGTGGAGTCGAATTTTGTGGTACGTTCTTCCTTTTTTTTCATCTATAGCTTCTCAGATGTGACGATTTTTGAATTTTTCATATATAAAGGGCCTGAATCAGCTCCAATAACTGATTCAACATTTTGGGCTTTCAATATATGGGATCCTGGTGTATCAAGCACAACCACAACTACTACCACGCCTCCAACAACAGGAACTGTAACAACTCGACCATTATCAACAACGACTGTTAATACATTGGTAGAACTCCATAACTTATTTTTAGCGAAAGGACACCTCAAAATGTTTCACCAATTTCGGACATCAATTTTTAATACGCTTTTTGGTTATTATAGAAGAGGATGCCATATCAAAAACATAACTTTTTTTCGTTGGATTTTTCCTAATACAACCGTAATAATTAACTGTATTCCCTGCCAGTTTCAATCAGAATAATGATTGCTGTTCCTTTGAGATACAAATCTGTTGAAAGAGTCGAGTTTTTCTTTGAGAAGTTTCTGTAAATCAATAGACGTTAAGGAGTGTATCAGTGACTATGAAACCTATGTGCGAACGCAACGAATTCTAAGAAATTTTATCTCATAGGTAATCATATGCTAACATATAATTTCTCTTTTTTAAAGTTAACAACCACTGGTCTTCATGTTACTTCTACTAATGTTATAATCACAACTACTACTGAATCTACGACAACTTCAACTACTACATCCAGTAATATTTGACTATTTGGCTTAATAAATCATATAGGAATGAATCCATATATTTCAGGTGCTACAACTACTACCACAGCAACAATAACTTCTGCAGTTCCTGATGTGTCAATCATGGATGCAATAGCTTTTGTACACCTTTTCACTTCATTTCCAATGTTGATATTTTTTTTCTTGAACTGATTTTATTTATAGGAAGAAGCATGTAAACAACCTGTGGCTATAATGACAGCAGCTACAGCCGCCACTCTGATTCCTCTGCATGTAATCGGCATGTTTGCTATGTTCACACAATTGAGCAAGATGTTTAATCCAAATCAGCTTGCTTCAGTCGTACGACACCAAAAGCGTCTTGGAAAACTACGATGAGCAATAGACTATCTTTTATCGACATAGACATTATTCAAGAAAACTATTTCACAATTAACTTACTTACTAACCTTCCTAACTCTTACAATAATGAATCAATAGTAATTTTCCAGAGATTATCTTTAAATAAACTCATAATTGAAAGAAATAAGATTAGTAGATTTTTTTAAACAGCTTTTAATTGTTGAAAATATGCCATGCAAAAAAGTGCACCTAAACAAAATGAAAAAAAAATGCATTTCGCTTCTGAAACAATAATTCACTTGAACATGAATAATGATTTTAAACTGAATATGTTAAATACCAATCTATTTTACTCTGTCGGTACAGTATACAATAAGAAAGTGTGCTGAAGTTTCTTTTTCTTTGCAAGAAAATTCATCTTGAATGATTCTTTTTCAACATATATCCATGATTGACTGAAGGTGTTCCCTCATATAAAAGATCTGAAATACTTATGGTATTAGAACTACCAAAAATAAGAATTACTTATATCAGTTCAAAAACTTTACAGGCCTAAACTTGCAATAATCACTTTGAAAATCTTGATGCAATCAATCAATACGATTATTTGA